AAGGCGGCAAAGGCGAGAATATGGCGGCAGGTGGGGGGAAGGGGGGGGAGGGGTTGGGGGGGGGGGGAACAGCGGGGGGGGAGTGGCAGCGTGGAGGAGATCACACAGAGGCGGAGGGTGCAAAGGAACTGCAGGCGGGAGAGGAAGTTGCTGCTGGACAGTCGCCGGCTCTGAGGGGTTTCGCAGCTCTCTGGCTGCGGGGAGCTCGCTCGGGTGCCGTCCGGAGATGCACCGGCATGGGGGTCCTTGGTGCCCGCTGACACTGTTGGTGCTGCTGGCTGCAGCTGGCGGCCAAGGTGAGAAGGGGAAGCGGTGCCAGGCTTGCCAGGAGGATGTGGGCTCGCTTGGCCTCGTGGTACAGAGGGGAGGCTGGCGGTGGGTGAGCCCTGCTGCCTGCACTGGTGCTGGCAGCGTTTGCAGGCAGGGCAGGAGGGATGCACGGACAGGGAGGTGTTGCTGCTGCTTGTTCGGGGAGCTGGGTGCCGGGGAAAAGCTGGCCGTGCTGCTGGCATGAAGGCATCCACAGGCACCCAGTCCGGGGAGGGCAGCGGGGTCACGGGCAGCGAGCCGGGCTTGGGGTCCCTGGAGAGATGGAGCGGGGCTGGGTGGGGTTTTTTTTGGCTTTTCTTCTTTTTCTGCCCGGAGCAGGTAGAGCCAGGACAGCTCTCGTGCAGGGCCAGTTCTCCTTTGCAGGCAGCATTGCTGCCTGCAGCACACGGGGCTCGTGCAAAAGAAGTCACTTCCCTGCCAGAGCAGCGCCCACACCCTGAGGCCGGCGCTGACCTTTCCTGTGTCCAGCTTTTCAAGGCCAGGTCTCTCTGCTGAACAAACACAGCACCTTTCCCCTATGATTTCAGTGGAGCTGGTGGTGGCTGAGGGTCTTCTTCCTAAAAACAGCGACTTCTGCGCAAGGGGAGCGGAGAAACGCCCAGGTTCGGGGGCCAGCTTGGTGCCTGGAGCATCTCCCGGCCGCATCTCTGTATCCCCCATTGTGCCACCCTTCCCTGCTCTCGGGGAGACCGGGGGAGCATCAGCTCCACCTTCCCTCTCTCGTCACGCTAAGACGCGTCTCCCTGCCCCATGGCCCACCCTGATGGTGCAGGGCTGGGGGGCACTCGTTGCTCAGGGGTGCACAAGATGGTGTGTTTCTTGCTCGAAGCAGCAGAGCCTGCAGCAACCACCGGCTCAGCTGAGCTGCAAAACCTCCCGACAGGTGCTGGCGTGGTTAACCTGCGGTGTGCTGCACTGGCCCAGCCCCAGCGCTTGCGCCGGCTGTAGGCAGCGGGCTACGATCACACTTCCAGACTGCGTGGTGTATTTTTGCATCATTTCTTCGCCGACTCTGCACGCCCACTGCCCTGGCAATCTCTGTCCACGCGCAGCTCCTTGCTGGGCCAGCTCCAGGAGCCTAGGATGAGGGCATTAAGGTGCCCTCACATCTTTCTTGCAGCACTGGATGCCTGCAAAGCGGTATTTAGCAATAGTCCCTGTTTCTTGCAGGCTGTTAAGTACCTGGAGTGGTGGGAAGGGCCCCCTTTGTAATGAGCGGCAGGTCCCAGGTGTGAGCCACCACGGGTGGGAACTGATAAATAGTGCCTGCTCCCCAGCCTGCTCCTTCGTTTCCCCAGGGGAGGATGCTTCGGCCTTTGCTTGCTCTGGCCTCTTGTATTCCTAGATTTGCTGAGTATAGGGATGTCCCTTCTGCACGCCAGGGTCTGGTGAGGGCAGGCATCCTCATGCCCGCGGCTTTGCAAAGACAAGGTTTAAGCTGGAGTTGCTTGAGGTCTCCTGGCCATGCCAGGAGATAACAAAGCTGGTGGCTCCGCAGTTGCCCTCCGAGCATGGCTCGGTGTTCGGGTCAGTTGCATGGAGGCAAAGCCCTGCCGGGGGCTGCGGGATGGGTGGGCTAAAGCTGAGCTTCCGGAGGCTGATGCTTGCCTCGACGGCCGTGCAAGCTGGGCTTTGCCGAGGGCTGCAAGATGGGTTGTTGTGTGGGGCTGTACCGTGCAAAGTCCACCCATGGCTGAGGCAGCCCCCGGTGCTGCCCTGACCACACACAGACATGAGGAAGCGGCGAGGCTGCGCGCACACTCGGTCCCGGTGGCTGCGGGTGTTAGTTCGTTTCAGGGGCTTTTTTATCTCGCCTCTGCCAGAGCTCTTGACATCCGGGGCTGCACTGAAAAGAGGGAGGCAAGCACAGAAACTCAAGAAAAAAGGGTCCAGTGGGCAAAATTCCTACTGTTCCCCAGGCTGGACAGGCAAGGAAGGAGCTGGGGCAGAAATGAGCAACCAGATGCTATGATCAGAGGGTCTGCAGCCATCCCTGCTCTGGGCAGGGCAGAGGATATTGCATAAGCATCTGCAACGTGCGGCCAGAGCAGCGGGTGCGGAAAGATACACAACCAGCCTGGGATGGTGCAGAGAGAAGGGTACCCCCAAGATGGCGATGGGGAACCAGGATGAGCTCGCCCCGGGGAGCAGGAGAGGCCCTGCTGGGGGCTGCGGGTCTGGGGCACGGGTGGGCTCCAGCAACCATGCCCCCTCCCCAGTCATGGAGGATCCGCTGGGGCCGCAGTCCCTCACTCAGCCCTCTCCGCTTTAGAACCCCTGGAGTGCCGGGAACAAGCCGTGCCTGCCGACAGCGTGCTGCAGCTGCTGCCGGAGAAACCCCCGCAGGGATGGACAAAGGTCAAGTGGAGAGTGAGACTGGATGGAGGGCGCTTCCATCGGATCCTGACGGCTGAGAAGAGTGAAGTTGCCTCATCCTCCAAGGGTCTTTTTTCTGGGAGAGCTGTTTTTCAGCAGGAGACCCTCTCCCTGTGGATCAGCCCGGTCAGCACGGCAGACAGTGGGGTCTATAGGGCAGATTTTGAGGACACATTAGGCATTGTTACTGCCCTGTGCTTCCGCGTGTCGGTATGGGGTGAGTAGCTGGTAGGGCAGAATTTGAGGACACATCATCACGCATTGTTACTGTCCTGTGCTTCCGCGTGTCGGTATGGGGTGAGTAGCTGGGTCCCCATCACCCCGTCACCCTCTCCTCCCTGGCCCTTCTCACCAGCTCTGTCCCCGCAGAGCCCGTCCGCCAGCCGCACGTGGACGCACGCATCCTGCACTGGGAGCAGGGCCTGTGCAACCTCTCGCTGGTCTGCACCGTAGCGGGCGCCAGCAATGTCTCCTACAACTGGTCCTGCACTGGGGGTCCCCCGGGAGCCCTGGAGCACCAGCCCTGGCCGCACCTGCAGGTCCACGGGGACGCCGACCCCACCGTCTGCTGCTGCAACGCGAGCAACCCGGTGAGCTGGAGCACGGCCAGCACCAATGTTGTGGCAGCCTGCCGCGCTGCGGCCCCAGGT